GATTTGTGGAAGCGCTGGCCGAGACTTCGGCCGCCGTAAAGGAGATGGGGGGTGCCGTATTCCCCGCTCGCGCCTGTTCGAGCGCCGACGTCGAGAGTGTATGCCCGCGCGCGTGCACATACCCCGATCCTATCCAGGCCAATCGTGAGCTCAGGATCGGGGCTCCAGATGGGACTGACCAGGGTCGGTGCATGTGCACAGCTCTACTACGAAGGCCTTACGGCCGGTGCCGCCGATCCTGAAGGACGACGACGACGACGAGGACGACGACGACGACGAGGACGACGACGACGACGACGACGACGACGACGACGACGGCGGCGACGACGACGACGACGACGACGACGACGGCGGCGACGGCGACGAAGACGACGACAGGATCGGGGCTCAGGATGGGCCGGCCTGACCAGGCTCGGTGCATGTGCACCGCTCGGGTGGCGCCTCGGTGCCCTGGGCGCGCGTCCCTTCTGGCGGGGGCATCGCGCGGGCACGTGGGAACAAGAACCCAATACGGGGGGCCCATGAGAAGCAATCCCACTTGCGGGCTTCATGTACCTCCTCCTCCTCCTTCTTCCTTCCTCGTCCTCCTCCCTCCTCCTCCTCCTCCTTCCTCCTCCTCCTCGTCTTCTTCTTCCTCCTCCTCCTCGTCTCCCTCCTCCTCCTCCTCCTCCTCCTCCTCCTCCTCCTCCTCCTCCTCCTACTCGGGTCGCCTACAGCCCCGGGGGAAATCGTGCAGGTCGACCCTGCCAAATCAAGGGTACCCTTGTGTCCTGTGCCTCGCGACCCATGCCTCCACATTCATGTGGCAATGTGGCCCTCGGAAGAGTCTTGTGTCCTCTCGCGTGTCCTCTTCGATTCACCCCGACTGCCATCTTACTGCCCCTCGTGCTCGACGTCGTATCGAGTTTCGCCGAGGACGACACGCAGCTGCGAATCCGTCTGCCGACGCGCCGTGCCAGCGTATGGCTTCTGTCTGTCATGTGCGGCGCCACTCGCGCGGGATTGAGCGAGGCGGAGTTGGGTTCGGTAGCAGATCATTGGAGCCTGGTATACCCTTCTAGTTGCGTCTTTAGCGTCGGTTGGCGTCGACTAGCGCCTGGGAGTCGACGAGATATGCCGATGTAGCGCCGATGTAGCGTCGATGAGCGTCGATTTAGCGTCGATGAGCGTCGATTTAGCGCCGACTAGCGTCGATCCGCAAGAGCCAACAAGATGGTCGGGGAGGCTCTTAGGAGTTGCCACCGAACGCTTCCTCCGTCCCTTCTTCTCCCGCTCCTGCTGCCCGACAAACAGCGGTGCCGTCTCCCGGCTCGCCCGAGCGCGCGCGCGGACCGCCCCCGCCGCGCTGCGACGTGAAAGAGGAGGTTGGCACCGTGCTGTGCACAGCTCTGCCTCTTCCCTCGCGCTCCCGCCCCTCTCCGCCGTGGCTCGGACGGGACTTGGGCGAGGATGAATCCGTTCTGGAGCGTTCCGGAGCGCCCTCAGAGCGTTCCGGAACGCTCTGAGGAGGCCGCGTTGCCCGAGACGTCCTCCAGAGCCGCTGGACCTCAGAGGTTCCAGATTTATCCTCGCCTGATTTTTTCTCCTCGTCCTGGCTTTGCCCCCGCTCGGCGTCACCCCACCATACTAATACTATGTGTTCGTCGCCTTCCCCAGGGGCGACGCGCGCGCCGAGAAATCTTACAGTATATGCGTCGTGGCGGGCGCTTTCTGGTCACACCGCTGGGGAACCTATACACTACCATATGGGCATACTACGTGTTCGGGTCGGACGCGCGCCTCCAGGGAGAGCATTCGGGGGTGCACAGAACCCCCACCCCGACACGTCTATTGGTGACTTGTCCGCTTTCGGCTCTCGGGAGGGCGCCGCGGTCGTCACTTTTCAGGCTTGCGCCCGTCAGGTTTGGGCCCGAGGTCGTTCTCACGAAGCCGCGTTCTGACTAAAGAGGGCTGTGTCCATCCCCGAAGCACATATTACCAGCCTGGAACATATCCCTATCCCTATGCTGGGCACCTCCTCATCACGATGCCAATCTTAGGGATTCCCTATTTTTTTGAGGGCGCATCCCTAAGATTGTCATCGCCTTTTGGCATGTCAATCTTAGGGATAGGGATACGTTCGAGGCTGGTAAAAATAGCACTCGCACGTCTCTGTGCGTCCCACACGGTGCGCCGCGGAGCGGGGCGCGCGTGCCCCTGGCGCGTGAAGGGGGGCGGCTGCCGGAGTTGCGGCGGCTCTGGCTTGGCCCGCCGGGGCGCGCCCGGGGGCCCACGAGTTGGGGGCGGCCAGAGGAGAGGGGCGAGGGCCGGGGGCCGCCGAGCGCTGAGGGGGGCAGGTCCGAGGAGGACAGGGTGCTCGGACCCCTGCCAAGGGGCCAGTTCCTCCTCCTCCTCCTCCTCCTCCTCCTCCTCCTCCTCCTCCTCCTCCTCCTCCTCCTCCTCCTTCCCCTCCTCCTCCTCCTCCTCTCCCTCCCCCTCCCCCTCCTCCTGCCCTGTCTCGATTAGACAGGGGGGGGTCTGATACCCGCCAGACGGCCGTTTCAGGCTCCCCCCAAACCAGCCGTGAAAGGGTGGCCTTTTGCCCAGACGCCCTGGAACTCTCCAAGAGAGCTCAAATCCCCCCCCCCCCAATTCAGACCTCCCCAACTTTTTTTCGGAATGGGGAGTACCGATGCCGCTACCCTTGCCTCGTTTTCCCATGTGGGACCTCCTGGGAGGCCCTCGTCGCCACCGCTGGATTCGCCTTGAAATTCTGGCCAGAACGCCCCCCGGGAGAGGCCCGCGGAGTAGCAGTATGGGTACTTTTCGTTATTCTTAGTAGGGGGAGAGGGGAGGGCCTCTCTCGAAGGTGGGGAGTGGTTCGCGAGTGGCGCCGTTGGGGCCTCGGGGGGCACGGCACCGTCCTCGTCGGGCCTCCTCGGTGCGCGGCGGAGAACTCTCTCGAGGCCCCCGCCCGCCCCCCGAGGGTGTGCCCCCCAGGGTGCCGGTTGCAAACCACACCTTGTGCAGAGCACACCCACTGGAGTCGCCGATTTTTTGACGCACCCCTTCTTAGAAGGCGCGGGCCTTGTCTCTATAGATGTAGGTAGGGCCGGCGCCTTACAAGACACATTCTCCTTTTCAGAAGCCTTCCCCCCTCCCCCCCCACCCCTTGTGCGCACCGCCTATAAAGGGGGTGGGATATCATAGCTGGGGCCATGATACTTTCCCAAGTCTCACTCGGTAGCACATCATGGGAGCCTTGTACACCTTCGCAGTTCCATCTTTAGAGTGCACTCGCGTCGGTTAGCGTTTGGTAATCGACGAGATGGCGCCGATTTCGCGTCGATTAGCGTCGGCTTAGCGTCGATCTAGCATCGACGAGCGTCGGTTCGCGTTGATCGGCATCGGTTTGCAAGAGCCAATGAGGTGGCATTGAGGACCTCGTGGGTTGCCACCGACATCTCCTGTATCTCATGGATCATTTCTTCTTCCTTCAAGTGATCGTTTCTGTCATACATTCTTTTGCCGATCGGCGCGGGCCCTCGCATCCTCCCCTCCCCCCCCCCCCGTGGAGTAGATCTTTGCAGGTGGAGTCCCTCCCCCAGAGGTCGCACTGTTGCAAACAGCCGCATGAAGCAGAGTTCCAGAGCCAGACCCCCCCCCCTCTCCCCTCCCTTCCGCCCAATGTCGAAACGCCGAATAAAAAACGCTCACCAAAGCGTCCCTGGTCTCCCCCTCGTCCGCCCACATGCCTCGGGCCAGGACTTGCGGGCCCCCCTCTTGGACGCCCCCCTCGTGGCCGCCCCCGACACGAGGCCGAGGCCCTTTTGCGGCCTTCTCCCCGGAGCCCTGGGCCTCTCCTCCTCCGCCTCCTCCGCCTCCTCCTCCTCGTCTTCCTCCTCCTCCTCCTCCGCCTCCTCCGCCTCCTCCTCCTCCTTGCTTGTCAGAGCCACGTGAGCTGGCGGTAGGTTCGTGTCGTGTCGACGCGGTGACAAAGCTAGCGGGGGGCGGTCAAGGTTGAACGCTGCCAGTGGCCCAGAATCGGCCAGTAGGGAACGATATGACATCGAAAAACCACCGATCATTTAAAGTTTAGCTGTCCACGCGGTGTCAGGTCCGGCGCCGTCAAAGAATCTGTCCGCGGACGTTCGGGCTCACTGCTTCTGTTGTTTTCCGCCCTCGTGCAATCGGGAACTCGTTAGTTGGCGTGTCGCCCTGCCTGTTCTGACCCACCACGCTTCGACGCGACACGCTATCCACGTCTCCCCTTCCAAGCGCCAACGTCCCGAGCCTTTTCGAGCCTCCTGCCCTCCGGGGCGGAGCGACACGCTATCCGCTTGCAGGGCATAGCGGGTTGCTGGGGCTGCCGCCGCGGCACTGAATGCGCAAGTTCCCTATCGTACTTCTTCTTCCGCCTCTTCCTGGAACACCAGAGCGGGTACGAACAGTTCTTGGTGCAGGGCTTTTAAGATACGATAGTTCGAGATGGACAGCGAGACAAAACCCAAATACGAGAGACCATAATGCCACATGGCAGTTGGCACAGAGAGTACTATTGGACATTGGGATCAAACATCATATTTCAAGGACTTCGCACACAAGCGCTGAGGCACAAAGGGAACTCTATGCAGCAAGCTCGCCTTGCATGGCGCATGATCCTCCTCCTCTCCCTCCTCCATTTCCTCCTCCTTCGCGACCCCTTAACTTGCGTTCAGCGGTCGCCGAGCGTTGCGCCTGCGTGCTCACGAACGTGGCCCGCCGTTTCCACCCTGGTCCTTTTCGTGCACTTGGAGTGTTTGTTTCGTCTTGCGGCTTCGCTCGGTGGCGCGCCCGGGGGGGGAAAACGAGAGGCGGGGCGGGCCTTCTCGGAAGGCGAAGCGGGTTCTCAGCAGCTCCCTTGCCTTCTGAGCAGCCTCCTGTGGCTTCGGAGGAGGCCGAGAGAAAGTCGGCCCCTTAGCCTTCTTCACTGGGCGCGCCGCCGAAATGCAGCACTTAACATGCCGCTTCCTCCTCACCAGGAAAGCTCCCCCCTGGAGTTCTTCACCTGGTGGATTCAGCAGAACACTGACTTTATGATGCGCATCTGCATCCTCGCTCAGTGGAAGGCCAGGTCGCTTCCTATCAAAGCGACAGGGAAGCGGCATGATGAATGGCATAGCATATTCCCTGTTCTATACGATCAGCAGCTCATCATTCTTCTTCATCTCTTCTTTTTCACCTGCAGCAGGACGTAGGCAACTTGTCACTATCGAAATCGCAGCCGCGACGACTTTCCACAGAGTCGACATCGTTTTTTTCCCACCCTGCCAGCTCCCCCCTCCTCCTCCTTCTCCTCCGCCATCCTGTTGCGCTGCCTCCCATGAACCACTTTTCAGGTGCAGTGCGGAAGAGGAGGGCGAGGAGTGAGAAGGGGGGGAGGAGAAGGAGAAGAAGGGCGAGAAGGAGGGCGGCGAGGGAGGGTGGGGGAGGTGGGGGGGAGGGGGTGGGGAGCGAGGAGGCGCAGGGAGGACAATGAGGACCAGTACTGATGAGATGATGATGATGGTGGTGATGATGAAGATGATGATGATGATGCTGATGCTACTGATGATGATGCTTATGATGACGATGACGATGATGATGATGGTGATGATGATGATGCTTATGATGAGGATGAGGATGAGGATGGTGATGATGACGATGATGATGATGATGATGATGATGATGATGATGATGATGACGATGAAGGTGATGATGATGATGATGATGTTGATGCTGATGATACTGCTGATGCTGCTGCTGAGGATGATGCGGATTCGGATGCTGATGATGATGATGATGATGATGATGATGCTGATGATGATGCCGATGCTGATGCTGATGATGACGATGATGACGATGCTGATGCAGATGATGCTGATGATGATGCTGATGCTGCTGATGATGATGAAGCTGATTCAGATGATGATGATGATGATGATGATGATGATGATGATGATGCTGATGATGATGACGCTGATGCTGTTGATGGTGCTGCTGATGCTGATGATGCTGCTGATGCTGATGATGCTGATGATGATGCTGATGATGATGATGATGATGCTGATGATGATGATGATGATGCTGATGATGATGATGATGATGATGTCAATGAGTATGATGATGCTGGTCGTGGAGATGCTGAGGTTGATGATGATGACGATGCTGATGATGCTGATGCTGCTGATGATGATGCTGATGAAGATGATGCTGACGCTGATGCTGCTGCTGATGGTGGTGGTGGTGGTGCTGATGATGATGCTGATGTTGTTGATGATGCTGAGGATGATGATGCTGATGCTGCTGATGATGATGCTGCTGATGATGCTGATGATGCTGATGCTTAAGATGGTGGTGTTGGTGATGGTGATGATGATGATGATGCTGATGATGATGCTGCTGATGATGACGATGGTGGTCATGACGATGATGAGGCTGATGATGATGCTGTTGAGGATGATGATGATGATGATGATGATGATGATGATGATGATGATGATGATGATGATGATGATGATGATGATGATGATTATGATGAGGGTGATGACGATGAGGCTGATGATGCTGCTGATGATGCTGATGATGCTGATGCTGAAGGTGGTGGTGGTGATGATGATGACGAGGAGGAGGAGGAGGAGGAGGAGGAGGAGGAGGAGGAGGAGGACGAAGAGGACCAGAGCAGCATGAGACGGATGAGGAGGAGGAGGAGGAGGAGGAGGAGGAGGAGGAGCAAGAGGAGGAGGAGGAGAAGGAGGAGGAGGAGGAGGAGGCGAAGAAAGCGGACCATGAGGACAGGGAGGATATGGCGCTGGCGCAGGACGTTGACGTGTCCTTCGCGGGGGCCTTCACCTCCGCGTTTGGATTCGGCTCGAGATCCTGGTCAGAACGCACTCTGCGACAGGTCTCGGAGTCGGCTTTTGGAGAGCATTCGGTTGCTGCAGTTGCTGCTGCTGCTGATGGTGGTGGTTGTGGCGCTGATAGGGAGGACCCTGGATGCTTCAGCGACGCTGCGGCACAGTCCACCCACATAGTAAGGATGGGCAACCTTCCCAAGGGTGGTACCCGTTTTATCCTTACCTCCTCGGTCCATCCTTGGCCACGTTCGTTGGCCGCGCCCGGCTCGAAGAGCTTCGACATGGGCGTCCAAGGCCATTGCATACTTATCGCGCATCCTTACTCTGCGGGTTGACTGTGCACCTTCCCGTCCCGAGTTCCCTCTCCAACAGACTCCACAAAGTAGGTGGATGTGGAGACCAGAATATACGCCGCGAACCACCCGCGACCCATCCCGCGACCCAACCGCGACCCACCCCGCGACCCGCCCGCGACCCATCCGCGACCCACCCGCGACCCACCCACGACCCACCCCGCGACCCACCCACATTGTTTTAACGAAGAAATCAGCGCCTGCGGCGAGCTCACTGCATGATTTGTAAAAGTTAGGCGCCTGCGGCGGGCTTCTTCAGAACCTCGCGGGCTGCCGACGTCCCCGCCGTCCCC